TAAACAGTGGTGGTGGCTGTTGAACTGTTGTTTTTGTTCTGAAATTTGACCAAAACTTCAAATATTGAAATCTGCGAAAATTCATGATACGAACGTATACAAAGCGGAGACTTTTTTTTCTTCCGGCTCTTTCTATTTTTATATCGCGCTTTGAGATTCTACTATTGACCACTGCCACGTTTAGACGTCATATTGCACGTGACCACATCGGTGACTACAGCTCCACCTTTCGGAAGCCAAAGTTTAAAGTGCAAGTGCACCCGTCAAATTTTGTGAGTGTAATTACAATAATGCGCTCATCTTTCTCAGTTCAATATCTCTCTTTTCTCGAAATGGTTACTCACTTTAACTCAATCGCCCCTCTTGAGCTTTCCAGGCCAGAGATGACAAAAGCACTTTCCAAAACTAATTATATTACAATATCAGTTCCTTTCTTAAAAATCGCTAAAATGTAATTATATCACGTTAGAGATTACCGCGTACTATAAGTATTGACATCATCTTCATACTACTTTTAATTTTTGCAGGTAGCGTTTGCTTGTCGGTAATGAAATAGTCTGCTGTTGCAAGCAGTGCAATGTAGGCGCAATATAATATATCACAGTCATGCCGCGACTTGGTCCATAACCGTGTTCTCGCAAAGCAGGTTTTTGATAATAAATATGGAGATAATTTTTTTTTATTTTTTTTTAATTCTATACTTTTGTTTGCAAAAGATACTAAAGTCTATTGTAATGCATCATTGATATCCGATAAGCTGAGGTGGCGTAAACTGCGCAGCATGAAATTCTTCGAAGGAATCGTTTGTTTTTAGGAACACGTGTGACGTGCGAGCTTGGTGTGAATAAATGGCTACGGCCACGAATAAAGGCTCCAAGCATTAATTGGAATACGACATAAGCATTTCGATTTTCCGCACTGCCGTGACTGTATCCGTGATGATTTCTCCATTCAAGGTGTCCACACGCACAGAAACACCGGAGTAGGGGCGGATGTAGGAATTTCCTGAGGGGGGGTGTCAGGTGTTGGTCAGCGTACCATTTGTTTAGGAACACCCTCCCCCTTAATTTCGTTTCACGCCCTAAATTTTACACATGCAGAATTCAAGAGGGGGGTCAGGACATCCGGACCCCCCCTCTAAGTCCGCCCCTGCACCGGAGACACTGTTGAAGTCTCAGGGGCTCGGATTTCCGTATGGTTTATCATCTGCGCCCGATACCAGCTGCGGTTTGCGCTTTGCTGAAATATTTCAACAACTGCCCGTCTTGAACGGGTTAACGAAAGAACTGCTCGTTTTCACGTAGTTGCGTTAAAATTATGTGGTTAGGCTACTGATGAGTGGACTACCAAAACCAATTATAATGACATCTAAAGCCACAATTCCTCTCCTGTGTACTCTATCTTGTAAATAACGCTTCTGCGATTGACAAGTACTTCTGCGCGCGTGCACCGTCAGCTGAAGTCGCACCATTAAATGATCGTCCTTCTTTTTTGCTTTTTTTTTTTTTGAGGGGATATTGAGGGTAAAAAGAGTTGGAGAGCTGAACTCCGAATCTCGTGAGTGGACATTTTTGAGTACCCGACCTTTACGGCTCCTACATGAACGCGACGTCCCATGATCACTACTGGTACATCAGCCACTGCATTCGATTTTCAGGTTATTGTGTACCTTTGTGCGCGGAATGTAAGCAACGCTAAAAATCAACGAAAAGTACGCCATTCTTAGCATGTGCATCAGGCAAAATACTTAAAACTGACAGTAGCCAGAGTACACTCAGTGTGTCTATGCTGGGGAAAGCGATGGAGAAACTCCATCGTGACGTCGGCGGTGGGAGGAGCCTAATCTCAATCGCCGCCGAACTCAACTGGCAGGGAACTCGATCGCGGCTCGCTGATGACGTCGACGAAGAGTGGCGATTGAGTTGAAACTTCATCGGGATTTGTACCCAAAAAATGTCCCTAGAGGGAAATGCGAAGCGCCAGAGCGGAGGGTCTTGTAAAAGCAACATTTTTAAGTTCCCAAAATGTAAAATTCAGTACAATGTGAATAAAATTACCGGTATGAAGTTTAAGTTCCGTCAATCATGTAGTTTTACATAAATAACACAATTTACGTGATCGCAACGCGTGAACTGCATGAGCTGCATCGCGATCGCGATGAATCGTTATGGCCGGCGTAGTCAGCCGAGTTGCCGAGTGAAGAATCAACGTCGTGGAGCCGTGGAGCCTTCTGTAGTGTTGTGGCACAGTCGCGTAGGATGGCCGGACAAACCAAAAAGGGACGTACCCTCGGCCCTCGGGTCTCGGCTCGTCAATTCGAGATCTTGTGGGACTATCTGTCGGCAAACCCAGCCCTTGTAAGGGCTGCCACAGATAGTCCCCTGACTCAGGACGAGAGAAAAGTTCTATGGGACGTCGCGGTAAGCGACCTCAACGCCCAAGGCCCGGCCGTGAAAACCCGGGCCGAATGGAAAGGTTATTGGAATTCAAGAGTGTACGCGGCAAGGGGTAGAGACCGGGATGCCACCACCTCCGCGCGACAGACCGGTGGGGGTGCCAACCAAGTGCCGCCGCTCAACGCCGAGGAAGAAAAAATCTTGGCCCTCGTGGGAACAGACTCCTCACGAGGGTGCGGCGGAAGGCGCGTGGGTTGCGACGCACCCGCACCTCTGGATGATACCTCGGCTGCAGCGGCGGTGAGTACCCGCAGACGCAATGTTAACTCCTCCAGCATGCGGTATTTAGCTCATTGTGCACAAAGGTATAAAACTGAACTAGCGCGATTGTGCTGCTCTACGTTTTAAACGTGTCCCCTATCATGGTGCAGCTGTTGTAGATCAGATAAACCACTGCTGATACCTGAATTGTGAAGAAACCAAGAGATGTATTAGGTACTGAAACTGCCATATTGCAGCAGCCTCGGCTGCAGCTATAAGTCATTATCCGGGAAGGTGGCTGTGCCTCTGTATGTGTAAACTCTGGTTTCGTTGACTTGTACAGGCCCCCTCACCGGCTGTGCCAGATGCGGGGCCAGATTCACCGCCAGCATCCGCACGGGTGGCTTCTCCGCCACCACCATGTGGTAAGTGTGGGACAAATAAAAGAATGTCAGTGACAGAGCAAGGCTCAGCATGCTGGCATCAGGTATACCACTAACTATGCGCTTCATGGTGTTATCAGATACTCTGCCACCCCGGAATGTTAGGCCCCGGTCTGGCACAGAGTGCACAGCCCGCGACCTCCTGACAGCACAGCAGGAGCAATTGGCAGTCCAGAAGGAACTGCTGGCCACGCAGCAGGGTCTGCTGAGGGCCCAGGAGCAGCAGCTGGCCATCCAGGAACGTCTGCTGGCATCCCATGACGAGATGCTGGTGCTCCAGAGAGGTGCTGCCGAAGCATTACGCGGGCTAACATCAGTACGTATTTAGTTTTGAAAGCTGTGAAAATAAAAGTGTCGTATTATGTGGTATTAACTAATGCTCTTAAGCCAAGGTTGTTCATCCTTGCTTGTTCTTAGGTAATGAGATTTGACAACTTTATAGGGCAAAACAAAAATTAGGTGACATTCTGTTAACAGATGACTGAATCAAGATTTGAAGAAGTCCTTGTGGTCTCTCGGCACGAGACATGCCGAGAGTCGGTCATGTCTCGTGGGTTGTGTGCAGTATTTGGAAATCCAGAGCACAAACATGCCTGGATTGTACCAATAATCACATAAACTGCTGGTGTTTTCTGGCTACATGCCCTTGTTATTCCCAATGCAGCAGTGCAGAAGCCTTTTTCCAATAGAAAGCCTTGTACTGTGCAAACACTGCAATGTTTGGCCGGTGTGTAAGAGTTCGGTGATTGTATGGAAGCTCCCCAGTTAACAGGTTTAGTAAAGTGCAACATGATGCTGTAATTTGCTTCAAGTGAAGTACAACTTATTGAAATTAATCCCGAGGCGAGAGCACCGGCCTATGGATTCCCATGTGGCGGGTTCGAATCTCGGCCGAGGTGCCCGCAATCTGATAGAGGCTTATTGCGGAGAAGGCACCATATAACCGAGCTTTCGGTTGCACGTCAAGAGATCCCCAGGTGGTCGAAATTAGTCCCCAGTCATCTGCTGGGGCGTGCCACATGCCCGTCATTGGTTTGGCACGTAAAACCCCAAAATTCGATTTTGACTTATTGAAATTAACTAGGAGTGCTACTCTAAGAAAGGAAGTGTTCCAAGCTCTTCACAACACTGGAACACTCTAGCCAATGCTTTAATTCTTCGAACTGCAAACAACTGCTGTTCAGGAATGTATATTTTGCTACTGATATACTTTTTCTCATGCTTTCTCTACAGGCTGTGCAAGCACTAGCGGCCTCCAGTGCCCAGCAGGCGTCCTCGTTGACTACGCTTGTGCTCCACCTCATGGGTGTACGTAACCTCCAGCCACAGCAATAAAAAAAAAATCGGGCAGTTTTTGCTTTCTTCAATAATTTATTCATTCTGCTGTGAAGGAGCCCGACAGACCCTTTACCACGACAAACACATAATTGTTGTGTGGCGATACACTGCCTGCTTACGGCAATAAGGAGCCCCTTTTATAGGCCCTTGCTTTTCCGGAACATCCAGTTTAGAACATTCTGCTCTGGAATTAATACGTAACAGCATTGCTCAATAATTTTCTAGAACAAGGGATTTTACAGGTTAATAAAATGCATCCGGTTCCAGGGTGGGAACCCGGGATTCCTGCCTTGCAACTGGGTGCGGTGCCCACTCGGCCACCGCCACACACAGCAATCTATTCTAGTAGAATTCCAGTATCACTTAGGTACTAAAAGCATTATAAGATTTAAACACATTGGCACGCAACAAAAGAAAAATAATGTGGCTTCCATTTGTGAGATTCTATCGACATCATGATTGCAGTTAAGGAGCGGAAAAACTTGACATGCAGGAAACAGAAGAAATGACAAAAAAAAATAGTTTCAAAGGTGGCCGGGAGGCTTGTTTCAACAAAGTATGACTATCTCGAAGGCGAGAGTCTCAATTTACATTGCATGCAAAAAACGACCTCAGTGAGCGGGGCGACTTCGGTGAGTGGGTCGACCTCGGTGAGTGGGTCGACCTCGGTGAGTGGGGCCACCTCGGTGAGGGGGACCACCTCGGTGAGCGGGGCCTCCTCGGTGAGCGGGGCCTCCTCGGTGAGCGGGGCCTCCTCGGTGAGCGGGGCGACCGGTCGGACGTGGTTGGCGAGTAGAAGCAGCCACCTCTCTAACTTTTCGCCGCCGCATCGCTTGGCCTCGGTCTCTTACGGTCCTGATTTGTGTACCGCTGTCGTCGGACTCCACACCCTCATCAGACTCTGACTCTGAGGACACATAGGGCTCGGGTGCAGGTTCCGGGATTGTGCAAAACAAGCACACGTTATGCAAAATGGCGCATGCGGTAGCAATGTTACATGCCCTGTCCGGATCATAATGTAGAGCCCGGTACCTCTGCAAACACCTGAATCTGTTCTTCAGCATGCCTATGCAACGCTCCACAGTGGAGCGTGTTGAGCGATGTTTCTTATTAAACTCTGCCTCTGAATGTCCAGTGGGGTTCCCAGGAATTGGGGTCAGGAGCCATGGCTCCAAGGGGTAGCCGCTGTCGCCTGCACACAAAGACGTAACGGGACTTTCCGTAGATGTTCGGCAACAAGTTTAAAAGCACACCTATGCTATATTTGTCTATTCTTAAGACAAACTAACTGTAAAAGCTGCAAGTCTGAGATGTTGTTCCTGCCTTTCACCAAGTATTAGTGGCTTGCTGGTGGCCTGTAGCCAGTGAGATTTAGGTGGTCAGGCAACATACTGCCACAATATTTGTCGACCTACAGTGGAGATTGAGAAAACAAAATGTTGGAAACTAATGTTTTAAGCTAATAGAGAGTTGATTAATGAACTAGTTCTGAACCTGTAGAATTATTACAGAACTACCAACACATTTAAAGGATGTAAAAATATGAAAACTACTTACCCAGCAGGCACTCGTTCTCTTCGGCTAGTCTCCCTTGCGCAAACTGTTCTCTTAGAAGAGATGCCCGCCACACAAAAGAGTCATGGACGGACCCCGGGAAAGTTGCGTCAAAGTTCAGGATACGAAGATCTGCGTCGCAGACCTGCAAAAACGAAAATGCAGTATTTCATATTCATGGATTATTCAGCTACCATTGCATTTGGATTTATCAACACCATCTCTCATGGTGCTCTTTCCTTGCCCGAACTAAACATGACCGACCCATACTACTTCACAACTGATTGAGCATTGTTTCATGATACCAATTTTTAGTCAGACTGGATTTAAGAACTCTACTTGACATGAGGTAGGGTTCTATCGTTGAAAAGTGCAAGAAAATATACTTGAGCTCTTTCGCTGGGCAGAAAATGAACAGCATGCATTGCAACTGTTCTGCCAGGTTCGCCTTCACATGTCTTCAAATTACAGATGGAGACGTGCAACCACGTGCTCCTGCAATTTGCTTCAAGCTAATTATGAGTTTGCATATGGCGCACCCTCTAATGGCATACAGACAAACTGCGACATAAGTGTAGACCAACACGCTGTTTACAAGCAGGCAGACTTCGTCCACACAAGGTGCGGGCATTGCGCATGAGTAGGAACTTGTTTTGTGAGCGTTGAGGCGTCTGCGTATGTGCCATTGAGTATGTAACGCTACCTCTGCAGTGCGACGTCAAGACATGCGTGATGCTACATATATGCTTGCACATAATAATTGTGGTGGCGTGGATATTTATATGGCGTGTAGTATGTCAGCCATTTCAAAGTTGCGACGAGTCACTCGCAGTAGATGAGCAATTTAGCCTGTGCAGTACAACCGCTAGCCTTAGGCCTTTAACGTGCACCACTGCGTGGTGCACGTTAAAGACCTCAGGCTAACAGGGACCAGCTTGGAGCCCCACTGCGTGGGGCTCCGAGCTGTGCACTAGCCCACTCGGCCACCGATACCCCGTTATACTTGCACACAAAACTATGCGGAGCGCAAGTTAGTCTGCTTGTTGCACAGGGGTTTTGATGATGTCAGAATGCCAAGCTCTTACTGGCTGATAAAAGAAAACAAAATAGTGGCTAGACCTCCAGGCATCAAGCATTGAGGTCTACCCATTATCCTTTCAATCAAAGCGAATCGGAGCTCGGCGTCATTCTGACATCACTGCAACTCCTATGCAAGAAGCAGACTATTTGCACTTCGCATTGAGCCAGAAGCTTTGCTGCAATGTAATTTCGAGGACAGAAGCGGACTAATGTTTTCAGTCTATCTTTTGCAAAGCTTGCTGACATAGTTCTGAGGACCAGTGTTAATGTAGCCACAAGGATCAATAATACCGTGGTTACAATATTCTAATGCATTTCATGGATTAGACAAGCACTGCAAGAGCTCTCGGGTCGGACTGTCATGCCTGCACGAGAACAATGTTTACGTTCAGTGCACACCTTGAAAGGAAACTAACATACTTACCACCATAGCATTGAGCGCATAGTAATTCTTCCGGCACCAGTACGCAGCCTTCGAGAATCTTGGATCGCCTTCTGAAGGAGCCCGAATAGCAATCTGTGTGCCATCGATGCACCCTGCAACACAAAAATTGTTTTGACACCCTCATTAACGATGTCATAAGGGTTCACTTTAGAAATGCACAACCACAGGTTCAGGTAACAGTGCTGGTGCCATTCTATAGCAAGCACAATTAATTTTTAGTTGCAAAAGCCTTTCTCAGAGGATGCATGCGCAATCATATCAGTAAGTTCTCATATCTTGGAGCGACTGGTAACCGCAACACAGCCTGTAGCATGTGAACTAAAAATTGCTGTACAAACATTGGTAATGATGTTGCTGGTTGGGTGTTCATTGGGATGGGCAGAAAAGAGTGTTTTCCCCAATCGTACGCGCAGTCAAAGCCCGACAGAATACAACGATCTCGCGCTGAAGGCGGCCGCTTCTACTTTCAGCTCAAGGTGGAGCTCTTGAGCAAACAGACTGAAAAAGATGCCCTATTCTTAAGGCTCGTCCACACATTTCCGTTGGACCTGGGGTGCCTTCATCTGAGCAAAGCGGACATGAAGGCACCCTAGTTGAACCACGATCGACTACATTCCCAAGGGACATTCGTGCCGCGGGCAAAGATCGCACATCCCGGGGACTTACGGCCAAACGTAAGTAAACCATACTGTGTGAACAGGCCCTCGCTATGTAAGCACGCTACCGTTCTGATAAGTTTAAAGGTATTTACCAATCACACCGCTGAATTTGCAGCGTCGAAAGAACTTCTTCTTCGCTTCGGCTTTCTCCTCACGGGTGTGCGGGAACCGCAGCCAGCTTGTGCCGAGGCAGTCGATGATGGCTTCTGTCACGTCCACTAAGACACGGCACACCGTACACTGGTGAACAGCAATATGCTCGTCGCTCGCAACTGTGCCTTGAAACCCGCCAGCGGCGTAGAATCTGAGAGCGACGAGCACCTGCTGCTCCACCGTGATATCGTGAGGCCTACCGTATCGCCGCTCAAGCTTGTTGCGAAGTTTGTCGCAGAGCCAAAGAGCTGCCCCTTTGGTAAGGCGATACTCTCTTACAAACCTTACCTCTGACATATCAAAAGCGTTGCGATGCTCGCGAAAAACTCGATCGGCTTGTGCTGTTAGAAGCAACGACCCAAACGTTAGGGTCGCCATCTTTCCGATGGAGTTTGACTTCGACTGCCACCTCGACTACAAAGTTATCTGCACCGCCAAACTGAATCGTGACGACATTTTGACGTCACCGCCAACTGCATCATTTCGGGAGCATAGCTCCAACTTCATAGGGAAAAAAGCGCATTGTGACGTCACCTCACGTGACTAAGCGGGCGGCCAATCAGCGCCCGATTGAGTTATCTTCATGATTGAGTTTGCTCCCCAGCATAGACACAGGTCAAAGGCCTCAAACTCAATTGAGTGCGGGAGTGATATATTCCACACCCCCGAGACGTCGAGAGCCAGTGGAAGACAGCGGGGATGAGGGGAGGGGGGGGGGGGGGGGGGGGGAGGAGTTATGGAGAAGGGACTTCACGTTCTAGCTTGCGACATCTGCAGGTTTAATTCGTTTTGAGGACTACTTTAGGCTTACATGATGTGACAACAATAATTAGAATGACACCGCCTCGCAATTATGCTGCAATTATTTATAGAACAGAAGAATACGTACACTGTGGTTCCCGTCGCTCATTCATATCGATAATTATTCAAATTTAAAGATGTCTGAAAAAAAATATTTCTTCATACGACGGTTATTGCCTTCCTGACAATTTTTATAGAAGCAGTCTGATAAAATAATCGATTTTTTATGGTGATGTTTCCGAGGGCGAGAATTAAAAACTCGTAGCTTGCAGTTGAGGTGACAAAAAACTGGGAAGCAAAAATTAAAACAGAACAATGTGAACATGTTATAAGAGCAATGCTACGTATGGAACAGAAATGAACTAATGACATTAGATTAATATGGCGCATGCTATTTCTAGCGCTCGAGACATGGGAACAACGGATCGCAGCAGGTTACTCGAGGACCGCATCCCAGCAAGCCGCGGGCCGTATGCGGCTCACGGGCCGCGTGTTTGAGACCCCTGACATAGGATGTAGGAAACGTGCGGAAAAACGTGGCTAAAATTGTCTTCATGCAGTTAGTGTTGCTGCCCATAAATAAGAATTTTCTTTTCTAAAGTCAAATTTGCGATAGGCGAAACTGAAAGAAACGGTAATGTTTGCTTATCAGTACCACTCGGGTAGTGGCTCGTGTCCAATCACTGCGACGATGAGAAGAGCCCGACTCTAACAATGCCTGGAGCTCAGCACGCGTCTTCTACCTTGCCAACCCCAACGCGCTTGGCCACGTGGCCCATGTTCCAGCTAGAAAAAACTAAGGTAAGTTTATTCAGTCATGAACGTTAGGGAGTGATAAATACTATTTTACCGCAACTTCAACCAAACGACTCGCACCATGACTCATCAGACAGCATCAGCCACTGCGACACTCTTTTACTGATGAGGGCTCGACTTGACTTTCCGAAACTCTCCGCCCTAACCTCACGTATATCAGGACGTATCAGGACTATGCCAATCATCGATCAACCCTCAAATTATTCGAGTGATGCTTTAATCACAATAAAATGTGTTAGCCATTTAATCAGCTGGAAAAGTCAAGACAAAAGAAAAAGTAAAATATGCTTGATTTATTATTCTTGACGTATTTTTTTTTTTTTTGAGGGAGCACATGTTTCCATGGAAACCACTTCAGCATGCTTGTAATTGTCATCGAGGGTGATTATAGTATTTAAATAGTAACGTAAAAAATGACTTCACTTTTCGAAGGGCTTCATATTTCTGTAGGTGTCACAACGTAAAGCTTGAAAGGGGACTGCAATCATCCACATATTAAAAAAAAAAAAAAAAAACTATAGTTTTTTATCGTCTTTTATATAATAGTACTTGAGAAAAAAAAACGTATTTATCGATTGATTATGGATGCATGCGACTTCATATTTACCGCTTTGCTGAAGTTCCACGCATGTGGAACGATACAGCACAACCTGCAGGAAAAAAACAACAACAACAAACATATAATAAGGACAGTACAGATCAGCCAGAAACAGGCTTGCATCGTCGAGATGCATGGCTGTCAACGTGCGACCGTAGATGACGCACGGCGGCTTAGAGGTAGGAAGAAGAGGAAGCGACATACCCGCTCACGCCAGCGTGACTCTATATACTCTGTTTCATACTTAGCGTGCAGCGCTGTCAAAGCTACTGGCGCGAGCGCGTGGCTTCATCTAAGGTTTTGTTTGCGCGAGAACTCGTGCACTGAAATGATCAACGAGATCAAGCCCCATGCTCGCGCCAGTAGCTTTGACAGCGTTGCACGCTAAGTGTGAAACAGAGTATAGTACTCATGTTTAACCGAAAAAAAATCTAAAAACAATACGGGCGCTTCCTTTCTCGTAAAATTATTTACTGCAGGAATTGACGACACAGTGCGCTTGCATTGTGGAAAGCAAAACGACCAACAATGCTGTCCTTTGTAAGCTTAAACACGTTTTAACTGGTTTAACTCCCATTTGCTTTCGGGCAAGAGGGGGGCGCGAGTATCGTTTTGCGCAAGCACATCAGCCTTTAAAAATTGGCGTGTCTGCTTTAGTGGGTGCCTGGTGTCTCAGTTGTATAGGCAATTTAGCCAGTGCAGTACAACCGCTAGCCTGGGGTCTTTAACGTGCACCACGCAGTAGTGATACACCACCTCACGCCGGTACGATGCTCGTCCAGATCGAACCGGGCAGGGGTGGGGATTGAACCCAGTATCCCTAGGATCTGCAGTGCGAGTTTTCGCTCCACGTGCTCCGAGTGATGAAAAAGAAAAAAAAAAAAAAAACTTTAAAAATTGTGTTTTATTAAAAAAAAAAAAAAAAAAAAAAAGATTGGTGTGCGCCGGCCCACTTGGCCAACGATCCCTCTCGGCCACCGGGCACATCAGCTTTTTTGTTTCTTTGCTGACAATGCCAGTTCTAAAAAGAAAAGAGGACGGCCATGAGTCACAACGGAGGCATGCGCACGAGGATATGGTCCAGTGGCTCGCTGACAGCCTTTGAACACTGTTCCTTCTGGTTTTGGCCGGGGCACTACTCAGTTTCTCTCCCTTAACAATTTGGCACTTGGGCTTGCAGTCAAGACAGGCAGTTCTGCTCCAGACAGTTTCTGAGCTTAGCCAGCAAGGACTCTTCAGCAGCGACTGCACTGCGCGACCGTAAGGCAAATGAAGAAGCTCGGCGGACCCTTTGCTCTTGGCTCCGAAAGTCAAATCTTGCGCGACCAGAAGCGCAGGAAGAGCAAGACAGCGCTCGACAAGAAAAAAAGTCTCAAAAGCGCGTCCAAAAAGATATCGAAGGAAGGCAGCAATGCTGAGGTGAGTGGAAAGGACACCGAAGCAGACAAAAAGGAGGAGGAAGGAAACAAAGAGGAGAACGAAAAGAGAGAAAAGAAGAAAAAGAGAAAAAAAGATAAAAAAAGAAATGAGAACAAATTGACCCCCGAAGACCAGCCCGATTTGGGGAGGTTTGGTGAGCAGCAATCATTGATCCCTATTGTCCCATCAATGAGTGACAAATTAGATAAAAAGGCTGAGAAATTGCGCAGAAAGGCAGAGAAGAAGGCACGGAAGGAGGCTAGGAAGAAAAAAAAGGCGCTTCTTAAGGAGAGTCCTCACTCAACTGAAGCCTCATCAAAGTCTCCTCCTAAGTCTCCTCCTAAGTCTCCTCCTAAGTCTCCTCCTAAGTCTCCTCCTAAGTCTCCTCCTAAGTCTCTCGTTACAACAGGCACTGAGGTCGTGGCGAAGAAGAGCAAAAAAGGCCGTTCTAAAGAGGGCCCTTATTCAACTCAAGCTTCATCAATGTCTCCTTCTAAGCTATTCGTTGCAACAGACAACGAGGTCGTGGCTAAGAAGAAAAAAAAGCGGCGTTCTAAAAAGGGTCCTTACTCAATCGAAGCCTCATCAGCTTCTCTTCCTAAATCTCTTGCTGCAACAGACATTGAAGCCGTGGCTAAGAAGAAAAAGAAGGAACGTTCTAAAGCGAGCTTTTACTCAAATGAAGCCTTATCAACGTCTCCTCCTATTGTTGCAGCAGACACTGAAGAAAAGGAGGCTGCCGGTACGGCAGCCTCCCTTTTCTCTCTTGTGGACAGTTTTAAGGGCATGTTCAAAGGTGACAGTTCTGAGCCAGCAGGTATCCAGCCAACAACTTCGTCTGCGTTTCGGGCCGACGCCGCTCCTGATGTTGTCCTTACTGATGTCGCTGCGGTTACTCCTGAGGTTTCTGTTGGCGCCAAACTCCCTGTTACCAGAGCAACCGGTATTACAACCACCTCTACAATCATCGCCCCGATCACCACCGTAGCCGGCACTCCAGCTACTTCAGCTGCCACCACCATCGTCACTGGAACACCCGCTGGAACTCCCAGCGTGGCACGTGTATCAACAAGCGTAGTCCCAACCTCGGTTATGGAGGCTGCGGGTACAGGTACGACACCAGCGGCCAGTTCTGTTTCATTCGAACATGCTCCAGTACCTACTCTGGAGCCGTTTTCGGGTGTCCTGATTTCTGTTTCGAAGAGAGACCTCTCTCAGCGTTCCACCCTCGCGCAACAAAAGTCCACTGCAGCCCGGGTCACAAAAAGGCTGGGTAGTTCCATCGAGACTTTTCCCGACAACGTGGTCACAGGCATGCCTGGGGTCGACTTCACATTTCTCTCAGACAAAGGGGTGTCCGAAATCTTGGCGAGCGCCCGATCCCCTGAAGCGGTGTCTGTGTCCATTGGCCCCAGAAGCCTTCGGGGTCAGGACATATATAGCTCGTATTCCTTGCCTACGCTTCAGGAACGCGACAGCGAACACCCAGGGTCGCTGCCTTCGCATATGACGGACGTTGGGTCACGGGACCACGACACATCGCAGGATCGCGCAGATCGCTGGCAGGACGACGAAGCGCCTGATCTTGAGTAAGCTGGCGCTCTTGAATTCCTACCATCGGGCCCCCGCGGAACGCCAAGCGTGGACATAGGCTACATCCACTGGGCGGCCACACTGGCTGAGAATCTACGGATTGCCTCGCAAGCAGTCAGGCCGCTGCACTATTCGACGGAGCAAGAGCAGCATCAACGGGACCGCTTGGCGCGGCAGCTCTTACGACGCGCGGCCTACGCCAGCGCGGAGGTGCGGAGGGCATCTATGGCGCTGGTTGCTAAGGTTCCAGACAGCTCGGAAGACGAGTCGCTAAAGCACAGTGCCGCTTTTTCCGAAGAGATTGCAAGAGCCGTGCCTTGGGCGCCAACAAGTTCTGTGCTTGCCGATGAAGTTCGCCCCATGTCCGCACGACGTTCAGCTGTAAAGAAATCGTTTGGGCGTATTCCGCCAGAGAAGCAAGTCACACCCGGTTCAATGAAGAAACAACCTTCAGAGTCTCTGCTTAGCTCTGAGTCTATGTGTTCGCTAAGCGACGGATTTCGACGCGCCCGCTCTACCGGAGACGACGAAGCTGCGGTTACCAGACGTACATCCGTAGGCTATCGGTCACTGTGTTGGTCGACCTCCCCCCGAATCGGTGTGAAAACGATGCCGACAGCTATGGAATCTTCTCTGGAAGGGACTCCGGGACGTCGAAAAGCCACGCTACGAACGGCAAGACAGGTGTCCTCGGAAGGGGAGCGTATTTCGCTAGCGAAGCCAGTCACGCCCGGTTCAGTGAAGAAACAACCTTCGGAGTCGCCACCTAGCGCCGGGTCTGGGTGTTCGCTATGCGGCGGATTTTGGCGCGACCGCTGTACCGAAGACGACGAAGCTACGGCGACCAGACGTTCCTCCGAAGAATCTGTAGGGGGACAGGTGGGGGGACCCTGGCCCTGGCCTCTGTCCTTCCCGCCAGTGCTCGGAGTCACCGAGCGTGCCTCTGCTACAGTCCTGTCATCGGCGCCAGAGAAGATGGAGGGCAAACTCTCTTCTGAGGCCGGTGCTTCGCTCCGAAGGCCAAGCCGCTATGCACCAAAAAAAGAGGAACTAGACGCCATCGTCCACGGGTTTCTAGCCGAAACAACGCAGAACGGCTTGGGGCCCGAACCTCACATACTCGCGAACGTTAGCAGACTGAGCGAGCAGCTGCTGCGGGCCTTTGCGAGGCCCACGGTATCTGCGGATAAGCCATCGGTTTCTGCGGATAAAACCCTGGCCTCTGCGGAGAAGCCCTTGGCCTCTGCGAAGAAGTCCTTGGCATCTGCGGAGAAGACTATGGCCGTGTTGTTGAAAGAGCATTCTGCAGATGAGACTACGTGGAGGAAGATTTCTGCCAATAGGGTTGCGTCCAGCGCTGCCAAGGGTTTCATAGAACAACAAAGGGTCCAGCAGAAGCTCGAGGAAAGCGAAAGGAGGCCCCAGAAAGCACCAGGAGGCAAGGAGGATGCCACCGAGGAGCTTTCAGAGTCAGCAGTCGAGATCGGTCTGTGGGAAATGTCTCTGAGCACAGTTCGTACGTTCCCGGAGACAACTGTAGCGATGTTGCTGGGGGCGGTCGTTGTCACCTGGATTTTCATCCTTTTGGTGGTCACCCCGTTACATCACGACATCAAGGCCCAGCCGACCAACCCTCTGCCAACGCCGTCTTCAATAAACGGTCAAGACTCGGAGTTTACGGCTCGGCCGACCGGGCGTAGTACCATGCCTCGTGAGTCACTTCTCAATCGTATTGTTTACGATGGGTCCATATCACATGAGCGAATGACGTTTTAGCGAACAGCGACATTTGAGCGAATCGACGTTTTAGCGAATAACGGGGGCGCGCGTTAACCCATCCGCAGCGCTGCGCTTACGCCGCTTCGCGGCGACATTCTGCGGCGGCTCACTACAAAAGTGTGAACCCATTTGGCCCACCCGAAAACGCCCCTTGGCGGCGTCCGACTATTCGCTAAAGTGTCATTCGGTGAAACGTGGGCGTTCACTAAAACGTCATTCAATCAAGTGAGTGCCTCCCTGCTGAAGTATAGAAAGTTCACAGTATGACAGATGTAACGCGAAGACATGGGCGTTTTGTTTTAGAATTGTATTCAAGGTTAGTGTTGTACACTGCACTTTACTGCCCAATGTCGACTTCTGCTTAAATTTTAGCTGCAAGAACAACCAACGACGGGCAGCCTTTCAGTTGTAAAATGAAACGTTTGCGAACACTCCCTTCGTGCTAAATGTGTCACGCTTTGTTTAAGCACGGGATTAACAGAAAAGGGAGGGTAATACGAGGCACCCTGGGTAGTTTTTTCAAGGAGCCATTCTGTTTCTTGTGGTGACGATTGGCATGGTTTGGGTTTTGACTCCGCCATCGGCGTTGGTTGTCATTCCTCGCAACAACGCCCAGCACGTGTCAAGGTACTTTAGGAACACAACCTGGATGGACAGCAGCAATGTTACATTCTCTACGTCGCCTAGTGAGTGCCAGCACGAGGCACACGCTGAACACGAGTCGCTACGTCAGCGTTTGGCTGGAAGGAACTTGCGTTCTATCAGAGCACGAACCTCAGACAAACGCCGACAAAGCACTCGTGGCGTGCCCACATACTATATGGGGTCCATATCACATGAGCGAATGACGTTTTAGCGAACAGCGGCATTTGAGCGAATCGCCGTTTTAGCGAATAACGGGGCCGCGCGTTAACCCATCTGCCGCGCTGCGCTTTACGCCGCTTCACGGCGACAGTCAGCGGCGGCTCATTACAAAAATGCGAACCCACTTGGCCCACCCGAAAGCACCGCTTCGCGGCGTCCGACTATTTGGTAAAGTGTCGTTCGGTGAAACGCGGGCGTTCGCTAAAACGTCATTTGTTCAAGTGAGTGCTTCCTCATACTATGTATTCCGTGCTGGCCTTCGCATGGTGACAGAAAATTCAGCACTACGGATACGGTGTACCAGTACTCTCCGCTTTCTCTCTAGGTGGCTTTAACCGACACCACAGACCTCCTGGTATGGGCTCCTCGCCTTTTGTGGTGTCGCAACTCTTTCCGAGTTGAATAAATATTATTATTAACTTTAGTCGCCTGTCCTTCTTAATGCCCCCCTCGTTTTTTATCCTTTCATCGCCATCTTCGTAGTTTCCTTAGTTTCCTTGCTCCGTACGCTCCTCTTCCTTCTGATCCAGCACCGGCCGGACGGACGATGTACGTGTGCGAGTCCGCAGATTGCGTGCGAGAGGGGGCCTACCTGAGGGACCTCTTGGTGGGCGACCCCTGCCTCAACTTCTACGACTACGTCTGCGAACGCCTGGACGACCAGCGGCAGCCGCCTCCGGGCATGGCCACTTCGACGGACACACGCCTCGCCAACGCCCTCGAGGACGCCCTCCTGGTCTACCTGCGCGACCCGCAGCACGTGGACGTCGCCGTGGGCCGCGACCTGATGCCGCTCTGCAGCGGGTCCTCGACGTCCCAGCTGGCCTCGTTTCTCACGGGGTACGTGTCTCCCGAGTGGCCGCTGCCCAGGGGACAAGTCCCGGCGGCCGACGACGTCTGGAGAGCTGCGGGACGTCTGCTTCGCGACCTGGACGTGGCAGTCCTGGTCTCGGTGGCGCCGCAGCCGGGGGTCGTGGCCCACCTAGGTGCACCCGACCTGCTCTTCCGGCAGGGGGACCCCGACGCGATGCTCGACGACTTGCAGGTAAACCGCGCGATGTATTCTTTTAATGATTAATATTATTAAGCTATGCGCATTTTAAAACGCTCATTTTTCCGCCCGCATGTAGCGGTAGCGTTTGAGACGACGTAATAAGGCTTCGGAATCTACCTTTACCTTACTTAAAAAAAAAGATCGAAATTTTTTGTTGAAAAAATGGCGGCCAACAGAGCCCGGGAATACGTAAAGATGAAGAGATGGGCTATAACTAGGGTTCCGCGTTTTCGGTTTCTATTTTTTCGAAATTCGGCGTACTTTTTTTGGTGTTTATTTGAAAAACGAATTTACGGCTTTTTTCGGCGTATAATTATGCCCACAAAAGTTTATCGGCTTGTTTCGGTGAATATAAAAAAAACACCAACCGACACTGGATCAGATGATCCTTCTAGCTCTGATATTTGTGATCACTCAAAGAATAACGGCACCGATACACTGAAAAATAAATAGACACTTTATTTGGCAAATGTGAGCAACTGTAAAAGAAACAAGAAAAAAAAAAAAAACAGAAGTACAAACAAGTCAGATACAAAGGCTATGCCAAAAAAACATGGAACTTCACCTTCTGTGCATCAGGATTATGTGATCTTATTATAGTGCACACACGTGTACTGTAGCCTTTCCAGGTTCTCGATCGTTGATCCGGACTCTTGTTTCCTGTTAATATGACCCTGAGCTTTGAGAATGCCCACTCACTGGTCACTGGCAGGCTGATGAGATGAAGCTCTG